GGGAATCACAATTAGAGAATTAGTGAACCGAAGCCTCAGTGTCCACAGGCATATTACTCTTATCTACTCAGGCTCCCATTTATGTGCTTCCTACTCATGCAAGTCTTGCATTTTCTGGACCAAATTCAACAAAAATAAGGTAAAAAAAAAAAGTATTTTTAATCCAGATTAACAAAAAGTTTTCCAATTAAAAGCTAAGCTAGAAGATGGGAAATATGAGTTTGAAATTCAGAAAGAAATCAAATGGATGTCTTGCCATACAATGCACCAATACACATATGTGAAAACACATTATTTTAAACATAAATTAAAAAGAACTAAAACGGATTCTAAGAATAATTCATTACTGATGCCAAAATAGCATCTTACAATTTTAGAATAATCATTAAACTAATACCAGCAGCTGTTTTAATGGCATAAAATAAATATTGCATAAACTGTTTTATTCATTCTACAAATAAATAAATAAATGTCCAAGAATATACAGCTTTAAAATTAGTAAAGATACCTGCTGATATAAGCCTGCTTGAAATCTGGCCTCATACTAATTGCTTGTCGATATAATTGATCTGCTTCTTCAAGGCGAGATTCATTTGCTCGAATTAAATTTGCAAGATTGATATAAACATTCAGATGGTTTGGAGCAACTCTTGCTGCATACTTTTTACCTGGAATAATCTGTCAAAAGAATATACACACCAAACACAGACCCTAAGACATTTCAACAACATGTGAAATACAACAAGTATAGATCTAATCTTGACTCTGCCACATTTGTTTTGGATACTACTGGATATCACTGTGCAGCTCTTAATAATCACAAATTCTTTCCTGAAAAAAAATATGAAAATAGAAACTTTTTTTTTAAACTTTGTGAAGATACAGATAACTTATATAGCATATTTGAAACATCAATTTATTATGCTCTGCAGCTGCTTAACTGGGCAAACAGCCATCAAGGACTGACCTTGCAAAACTTGCCGAATTCAGACTGAGGTTCATCTAAGACCTAAACCTGTATTCTATCAGCTTAATTCCTTTTTTGACTGTCCATCCATAGGTGCGGATGATATTTCATCTGGCACTATTACACAATTGTTGTATTGTCTCTTCATGTGGTTTATGGGAAACTTTTTAATGCTGTAGTTCTACTCAGTGGTCTGCTGATTTTTATCCATAGTGATTGTTATCCGTGTGTTGCTTTCTCATATATGCAAAAAATAACACCACCACCACAACAAAAACCCCCCTCTCCTTTTCTTCTAAAGGACTAAAATTTGTAATATTGCTTACACTTACATATAACTTAGTATATGATAAGTATAACAAGCATATGTTTTTAAAAATATGTTCAAAGATTTTTTTTTGTTGCTGCTCTTTTCTCCCCACTCCAACACTGCATTTAACCTTTCACTTGTAGGTTTGGAAATTGGAAGTCACCAGTGTTATTAGATAGAAGAGAGAGCAAACCCTACATGATTAGAAACTGTACACGTACATTTAACTATTGCCTTCTTTTATATCTTCAACTTAAGCAAATCAAAGCAACAGTACAAAATTAACTTAAAAAGTTCATAAAACAAAGTTTCAAGTTACCATTTCTTAAAATTGTTACAACTGAATATAATCAGCTCTTAAGAGAAGGATAGCATCAATACTTCAACCATATAGCAACATACAGCTTTATGCAAAAACAGGAAAAAATATATGATAATTAAAGGTTTGAAAAATCTCCTATGGCAATAGGTAAGTTAAAAAACAATAATTACCTGAGGCATCAATGATTTGGCAATCATATATGATTCTTCAGCTTCTTTAGTTTTGTTTAAATTTTTGTAAGTTCTTCCTACATTCATATGGGCACCAATATCATCTTAGTAAAGAAAAGAATAGAAAACTAAAATACTTCCAGGTATTCAGTACCATACAAATAAATGACTATGCCTTGTGAGTAGCATTAAGTAGAGCTCCTAAGAGTACCTACAATTAAGTAAACACACTTTGACATTGCCTGGATTTTTTAACTTTAAATAATTTTTCTTAATAAAAGAAAATTAAATATTAATTAATATGGAATTAGAATTTGGATCACACTTTTTCTGAATTAGTTTCAATAATGCTTTTAAATGGAAAGTCTTTCTATTCCTGTTTAGATAAAAGCTTTCCTAAGTAACTTCGAAACTCGTAACTTGGAAAGAATTAGTTTCTCACACTCAAAAATTACAGATCAATTTGTTAAACATATTATATGGTTGGATGTTTGGTTGGGGGGGAAAATAGTTAATTCAGAGGATTTTAAGTAAGCTAAGAGTACTAAAATTCTAATGTGGGGTGAACAATAAGCCACTGAATGCATTCTATGGCAACAAGTCAAAGTTTATACCTGGTTGCACTTGGGTGGCTTGTATGAAGAACTGCAAAGCTCTTTCAAAATTCTTTTCATTTTCTAATGCGTGTCCCACATTATTCCATAGTTTTGCATTGTTCTTATTTACCTAAAAACAGAAAAAGAATACAAATACATAACTATTAAGCTACAATTACATAACACTTGATTTTCTTGCAACTACATCACAGCCATGTAAACATGCATAGCAAATGACACAAACATCAAGTTTCTCCAAGTCTTGTAAAGAATATGTAAAGAATAACAAAGTAAGGATATTTTAGTTATTAGCCAGATACTGTCCCTAAAAATCCTGGGGCTTCCAAAATTAATTGCACATGCATTTCACTGCAAGACAACATACAGCTGGTAATACAAACTAATCCTATGGTGCCAAATGCATTTTAAAGATACTATTTTTATGCCTCTATTTTTTTGTAGATTTTAGTTCTCAGGAAAACATATTATGCTTTTATACAGTTGGAAGAATATATCCAACTGTTGTAAAAGAAAAATAAAAAATAACAGACAAAAGTACCTCTCTCTCTCTCTCTCCCCCTATATATATACATATATATATACACACACACAGACTTTTATAATATATATATATATATATATAAAATTTAGCAGCTTTCTATTTTTTGCATGCAAAATTCCGTGCAACATCACACACTGCTTTTAAAGCATTCCCCAAAGCAATTAATTAGATATTAACAATGTAGAAATAAACCTGTCAAACATAATTTCCACTTTTATCATGCTCTACTGTACTCAGCATTTTGAGAGAAATAGCCATGAAGTCTCCATAAATTCTTTGAAATGCAGTACCTTTAAAGCTGACATGAACAGTGTGTACTCTGACTCCCAATCCCAGTTTCTGTGCAGTGTTTTTAAGGCATGAGTGAACAGAACCAGAACCAAACACACCCAAGAAACCTTTCTTAGCATGCTATATGTTAAAAAAAAAAAAAAAAAAAGTTAGAATCTCACAATTCTAATTCATATCACATTAAATCTCACACATTAAGAGATACAAATTGAAAAACAGGTTTTTCATGTTTTGAATCTTATTTTTTTTTGTATGACTATGCAATACACTTAAATATGAAACCATTACAAATTATTTTAAAAGTTCAGGAAAAGTATTTTTTTATTTTATAATTCAAGGTCATGAGTATGATCATGATGTCAAACACTAAGATTTTTCAAAACACTCTATAAAATTTTAAATACTACAAAATATAAAGAACTAAAAGAATTATCCTACCCTTTTAGTACCAAGTAATCCTGAAAAAATTATTGCGTGTGCACATTGTCATTACCTTTTCCACACTGTAAAATGCAACAGAGTTCAGCTATCAAGGCTACACAAAATTCCATAATGAAAGTGACATCCTAATGCAGCTATAATACCTAAATAAGAGCAAGTTTTAATATATCTTTAGCAATTTGTATTTTGTTTTAAAAGCCATATGTAATTCAGGGTCAGAAATCACTTTGTGACCAGCTTCTCTGCAACAATGTATTTCTAGAGTTATGCAGTTTATTTTTTTCCACAGTTTAAGCAACAGTCAGTTTAACCAATACTGATACAAACCATCTGTTTTAAGTTGATCAAGTCTCTAAATTCTGATGCAACTGAAGAAAAAAAGGTCCTACTGAATACCTAGTAGCTTTCCTACAATTATGAATATTATCTTTTTTTTTAAAAAAAAAAAAGTTTAATGAAAGCAGATATACCTGTTCATCCCTGCCAGCTATCCTTACACTTTGAGTTTTACCAGAGGTCTTCACGCACTGTGCTGACATCACACGGGTTTGACAGAAAGCACAACCTTCTTTTACTCATTGTACAAAATTCTGTGCAGACTTAGATGATTAAAGAAAGTAGAAAGATAAAAGGGAATCCCTACTAGGCTTTATGAAAAACAGTTCCACTGCTCATATTCTTAAAGCATTTGCTTTAAGCTGTCTCCCCTCTCATGAGGCCTTTTAGAGCACTGATTCCCACACGCTTTGTTATAAACCACTCTGTTGCCTTATTTTCCTTCCTGTTCACCCTCTCATCTTGGATCCTATTTTCTTTTACACCACTTTGGTTTGTGTTTGTGATGATGCCTTCTCCTCACTCTCAAACAAGGTACAGCAAATTTCTTTTTGGGCTGTGCTGTCGTTAGCACAGCTTATCATGCAAGAGCTCACTCTGCCAACAGCAGACATAAGGGACTGTGACTGACTGCCTTATGGTTTGCCTGAACTAGCACCAGGATGCCACGGGGATAACAAGGGAAAAGCATCCAGGTCCCAGGGAAGCACCTACAGATCTATGAAGAAGACAGTGTAAAATCCAAGATCTATTCTATATATAAGAACTGATGCCACAGAAGTCCAAAAAGGTGTTTTTTTCTGAGCAGGATTTCCTAATAAGAAATTCTTACCTAAAATATTCCTTATTAATAACACATACAGAATTGCTCTGATGTTCATTCTTAGCATTTCTTAAAAGTTTGGCATTAACGAAGGTTTTTGAACATGCTGCAAACTGATACACACGCATTAAACAAACTCTAGTCAGCAACGATGTTTAAAAATGGAAAAGACATCTAGAGATTGTATAATCTTTTAAATATGTGTTTCTTTACATCACAGAAATTAGAATATACTACTAGGAATATACTAAGTCCATGAAATTTCAAAGAAAATATATACTCAACATCATATGTTGATCTTCAGCAAGACAGCTTATGACCTGAAATACTAGACTGTGCAGTTGAATCAAATCTATCAGCCTTTCATCTTACAGTCTGCATACAACTGCTAATTCAAAAGAGACTCTGAAAAGACTCTGAAGGTATTTATTAAATTACTATGAAATTTATTCTTACACAAAACAGCAAAGAATAATTTTAAGGTACTTCTAGGGCTGGCTCATTCAACACAGACACAATTAATTTTTTAAAAAAGTTGTTAGCACTTTTTCAGAAAATTAGCTCAGCAGTCAGAAGGTCCTTCTAACTCTACCCAACATACCTACACAGACTAGTTTTATCGCAAATATTTGCTTATGCAAAAAGTAGCTTTTTCCCTCACTCCAGTAAGCTAATAAATGTCTTTCTCCAAAAGCAGCACTTCCAGATGAGTGTTATCACGTTTTATATCAGTGCTGCTTATTATGTTTTAGAAATTTGGTTACAAATGAAAATATCCAGTAGCCTCCTAAGAAAATCCTTATTATCATCTGTTCACACCACATGACTAAAACAGTTCATCTGGATTTTTACTCTAGGGTCCGTAAGAATTCAGAACAGAGCAAGAACTTTAACATGGTATTTGCACACTGGTAAAAAGTATACTTATTTATTTGCTATGAAATTAAAACAGATGAGTTAAAATAGTCACAGATACTATTAAGGTACCTTTTACTGGATAATTTCTTCCATCCATGTGCTACTAAAATGCAGAATCCCATGCTAGGAACATACAACACTCGTTCTGCCACTACAAACCCAACAGGAAAAAAAAGGTTTGATGCAGGAATGAATGGTAACACTATTAAACAGAGTCCCTAGAAAAGAAAAGCAAATAAATTAGTTATCAAGATTAAGTAGTAACAGCCAAACAAAGAAGCAGTTAAAAGGCATAAAGGAGGCCTCTGCTTCATACTGAGGCTACTAAACATGGCAAGTTTTAAACTTCAACTGGCATTCTTTCTTAGTGAACAGCCTACTAGTCTAGTAAGTTCTCCACACTACAGAAAAGAGCAGCTGTAAGGAAAAAAAGCACTAAGATAAAAACAAACAAAAAACTCCAGCTACAAACAGAAAACAAAATGCCCCTTTTAAAATTAAGAATTCCACATATAAATCTACAACAGTCTTAAGACTCTTGGTCATTCTTCTTTTATAAAAGAAGTCAGTTCTCAATAAATATTGTTTTTTCTATCCTCCGCTAATGTATAGTATTTGTAATAATACTGAGAACTATTATGTTTATAAACAATACCTGAAAGTTTTGACTTTCAGGTCAACAATATTCATCAGCTGTCATACTTTTTGCTTTGTATTATTTACTAAGAATTCAAAATAAGGCAAGGTCCTCTTGTTTGTACAAGGAGCAGTTAAGTTAAAGAGAAATTAAACAGTATATTAAAAAAAAAAAAACAGAAAGTGACTTTCATTGTAAAAAAACAGCAGCAGCAACAAAAACAAAAAAGAAATCCCTCCCATACAGCAAGCTCGTTGCAGGCAGAAAGAATGGGCACATTTAAGCTAAAGCTAAAGGAAAGACTAAACCTAAAAGTATTAGCCCACATTCTATAATTTAAAAATTTGTTTCACAGGGTGGGAGGTGGCGGGCAGAGTAAAGCCTGGAAATAGTAAAACTGCAAAATAGAACACACAGTATTTTAACTTAAGCTTGAATGATAGATGCAACTAACTAAAATATATACACACAAATATATATATATATATATATATATATATATATATATATATATATATATATATATATATATATATATATATATATATATATATATATATATATACACACACACACATCCACAATATACACAATAGATAAAATTTTAAATATATATTTCATAAAATATGTATATGTATTATATATTTATAAATATATATAAACTACTATATATGTAAGAGTAAGTAAACAAGTAGTAGTTACAGGCATACTTTTGCTCATGGTCCTTTATACAGGGTCCATTAGCACAGAGCCCTACCAATTCTATCAGTGGAACCCTTTACTGGAATAATCAACTAATTTTTCTAAAGATAAGAAAATGCATGCAATATTTTCAAGTCTTTAGACCATTTGCCTCAGGAACAGAAAAGAAAAATTGCAGTTTTCTTACAAAAATAATTTTAGTTGTGCATTTTTTTCTTACATGCTGTAAGAAAGAGCAACCAATTATGCATTAATGGCATATTCCTATGCAAAAAAGAACTGAACTCTAGAACAATTAAAAGTGAACACTAATCTCTAAGATAAGTAGTTCAATTGATAATAAAGTGCCTTTTCTAGTTTCTGTTAAGATTGAGAGTAACAGCATAAAAATCAGAATCAACCACTAAATGAACATCTGTTATTATATATTGCACTGCTGGTATCTAGAGATACCTAAAAATCAAAGCAAGCAATCGTCTTAATTGCAACTCTTCGGTTGTTGACAGACTTCTTTATAAAATGTGTGTATGTGAGAAAAATAGTCAAAGATGGAGAAATCTGTCTGCTGCTAAAAAAAAGCAGACATCACCATTTGCTTCAGTGTCTTGAGTTAAATAACAAATTAATAACTTCAGGTAGCAAAAAAAAGAAGTGAAGCGATTATTCCTAAATATATGGCAACTAATTAAGAAAAATAAAAGTCATAGGACATTTGAAGAAACAGTACTTTTCTAAAATATTTCAATTTTCTATTTACAAACAAGCATAATTTTAACTACTAAAGACCTTTCCAAACATACACAGAACACTGAATAAATGTTTTAAACCACTTTGACACAGCAAGGAACCTTCATGCTGTCAGTCTTCTGTATCATTTTCGTCACTTAGTTATACAAAATGCCTTTAGACTTTACTGGGGGCAACTACTGGAACTAAGAGTTAGTGTCATTCTACATTTCATTTTTTTAATTTTAAGGAGCCAGACATCCGTGACAGTACAAAAAGTACACTGTAAGTGTGCTTTGACAGCCAATGTGTTGTTTTCCTATGTTTTCACTGAATTATGGATTATCTGTTTCCAATGTTAAAATCCACACAAAATCAAATCAGTAACCCAGCAGATTTCAGAGGACGAGTTGATCCATATAAATTCTCATACTATTTTTATATTAGCAATTAAAATTTTCAAGTCTTTTTTTTTTTTTAATAAGGATATGGTCCCATGACCCCATGGGGTCACGTTATATATAGGGAAAGCCACTGTTAAGTTGAAGCAGAAAAGATCCTGCAGCTGATATTACTAGAAAGGACTTCCAGGTCTCAAAGTTTTTGTTTTTTTTTTTTTCCTCCCTCTTCTCCCTGCACCCCAAGTTCACAAGTTTGGAACAACACTTGTTTCAAGAAGGATTGCACAACATTTTTCCAACTTCTTTTCAATCTTTTTGTCTCTCCTTAGCACACTGTCCTTCAGCTCAAATTTCCTGTGCACAGCCTCAAAGGTACTGCAGATAAATGTCTTCTTTTCTGTTCATTTAGTCTTTCTCTTTATCAAAATATTTCAGCAGGTGCAGAAGTTCCTTTGAAAAATATCCCAGTCAAGGCACCTGATAAAAAAAAAAAAAAAAAAAAAAAAAAAAAATCATTAAAGTATGCAGGCAGAAAACAAAGCATTATCACAATACTCTAAAACACAACAGTAAATATGAAAAATATCTGCAATCAGACCCTTTAAAAGCTCCTGACATTATACCCAAAGAAATATTTCAAAGCTTGAGCTGTCAGCATAGAGACTGTAGAAATAAATATTGCTAAATGTAGAAGCACTGTCATCGTGGCAGATGTATCGTTTGAAAGTGTAGAATGCTCTCTCCAGGAAAACTAAGGATACCTGTCTGTTCATGACACTTGTACAGTAAAAATCTACTAAAGTTTCTGGTCAAGTAAAAGTAGAGCCGTCCCATCATGGTTGCTGGACAGCTGTGGGGAGGGGTGGCGTTGGGCAGAGAGGTAAAGCAATCCTTGGGAATGGCTTTGGGTAGCTTGGCAAATATTAAGAGATGACAAAAAAAAAAAATTCCAGCAAATTTCCTAAAGTCCATAGACAGGTCAGTGATCGCTGCTTAAATCTGAAATCAAGCGCAAAACTACTAAAGCAATTCTAGATCTGTACTACTAGTATTCAACATGTTCAATATTTATATTGTAACCTACTTATAAAGGTCATCTGGTCTGATAAAAGAGTTATCTGATTGTTCACAGGGATAAAGTAAACAAAAACAAAATCATCTAATTGCTCACACATTGTTTCCAGGGCATGTCCTTTTCTACTGTCAAAAGGATTGATTATTTCGAGCAACATAATGACATCAGTGTATCAAAGAATGTACTTGTTTAAAATATATAATCTCATTTTTGTTAGTTTAATATTGTCAGCTGGCAAAATGAACTACTTCAAAAGAGAAATCAGTTTCCTCTTTCCCAGCTCTAGCTGCTATTTTAAAAAGGTAATTTCAAATCCTTTGACAAAATATTAAAATGAAAATAAAATGAAAACAAAATGAAACATACATCTACTTACCTAACTCATTTTCCCCCAGAGGCGATCAGTATCAGAAACACCAACTGAAAACAGGTTCTTCATCTTTTGCACCTCATAAGCGAGTTCACCCCCTAAGAATTCTTCTGGAGAGGTCTGGAGGAGGGAGCAGGAGGAGGAGCCCTGTCTTCTGTCTTGTCCTTGTCCCATGTGCAGTTAAGTAGAGCACCCAACTCGATATCCGAATCGCCATGTGTGGAAAGACATACTTGGACATATTTGCGGCCTCCATTCTCTTTTGCGTTCCCGATCCCTTTCCTTTGCATCTCCTTCACAGAGTCCAATTAAACTTCTTTACTTCTGCAGCATGCATAAAGCTGTACATATCCTGATCTCAAAAGTAATGAGATCTTCCACTTACATTAGGCTGCATCATGAGACCAGACTGATCTCTCCTAAAGTGTATGCATCTGTATATTTATGTTTTTTTGATAACAAATTTGTGCAGTAAAATAGCAGCAGAATGTTCATTCATAACATTGGGCTGATAGATAAAACTTCCAAAACATGCTAGAAATTTTCAAGGCACCTAGTAACTCCTTTTCAAGACCGTTACAGTTTAAAATATACGACGATGCATACAATTACGATACCAAATGTAGTGTGCTGAAGCCACTTTTATAGTCATACAGACAATAAGGCATCTGTGCAGATTGCACACCCAATTTACAACTGTCAGGGTAATACCTTACTTTGACTAGCACAAATTCAGGTTTTTAATGGTAGAACTGAGTATTAAACAACAAGTTTTAAATACAGCAACTCAAAACTTAATTACCTACAGAATTGCCATAAACTGAATAGAGTGGTGAACAAAATCTTACTGAACAAAGATTCAGCTTTAAAGATGGCCCTATAATATCTTCTAATAAATCAGAAAAAGAAGCTACACAGGAGAAAGTTTTGTGTTATGGGAAGGCAAAAGAACTATCTACACTAGGATACCTCTTATCTACAGAGTTGCTGCATGTTATAGTAAGTAAAATTAATTGTTTTAATATATGATACTGCATTCTCATTTCCTTAGAAATTATGTTCAAAGCATTCAGATACCATGTCTGGAAAAAAACAACTCATACTGATTATATACATAATATATGGTATATCATTAAATCGTGGAAAACAGTTTTCATTAAACAAGGATTATATTGTGTTAAGCACTTCATAGCTGGCAGGCTGGACAGAATAACCTTGGAAGACCTTTCCTATGAAAGCACTTGGAAGAATACAACTATATATTTTATAAAACTAGAACCAACACTGACTTACTCCTCTATGTAGAAAGAATTCCATTAACCCTTCTCCCTTATGAACTTCACTGAAGAGGGACCAAAGAGAAAAGCAGGGAAATAGGGATTCTTAAAGTTTGAGACATCTCTGAAAGAGAGGAAAACCCTGTTCTTAGCACACATTTCTAATACTATCAATGCATTGGAGGAAAAACGCTTCATCTTAGATAAGCGACCGATAATCTAGTTTCCACTTTGCATTTAAGTGCTGCAAAAAAAATACTGTTTCTCAAACGCATTGGCTATTTATCCATTTAAATAAGCATTGTCCAAAATTGTATTTTAAAATTGCAAACACCTGGGTAAGTCATTGTATACATTTAGTATACCAAAGAGCAACATAGGACTCTTTTGTTTATATAAATTGAAAATGAGCTGCAGTGTTGCTGATGAAATCTCTTATCCTGAATTTAGAAAATGATTTTCTAGTGAAACAATTTGTCCTCCTTCTACAACAAGCAACAACACTCACATTAGTCCAAATCATAACTATATGCTAGGTCTCTGAGTATTTTGAGAGAACAATGAGAGAAGAGGAAAACTTATGCCCTTAAATGTCAAAATATGACTTAAAAAAAAATAAGGAAAAATAATTGAGTCAGTTGGTCAATGTGCTGAATAAGTGCTGACATTTTTAAATAAAGTAGATATGTCACAGGACAAAAAAGCATTCTGATCCTTAAAAACGTACTCCAAGTTTGTTAGCTACGTTTTGAATTCCTGAGAGCTACAATACAGTTCACAAATACATGCCAGCAGGCATATTTATTCTCATCTCTTGCCTGTGTTTCTCAACCTCATTCCTGACAGACAGAGTCCTATTAATTGTGAATTAACAGTATTGTTGCAACTGTTTTCCTCTTTCCTTGTGTGTTCATTCTTGCACACAATTAGATACATTAAAATCACCCAGTGATCTTTGAATTACATGTAGAATGAGGCATGTGATTAAAAATCCCGAGCCAGTTACACTCTTGCAAGAAAAGGACAAAACCATGCATAGCTCATACCATCAGTACAGTCTTGGAGGAATCCCCAGGATATCGGACACTGAAGACAATCAAAGATCCCAGAAGGAAAAAGAACGTAAGAGTGGCAACATTTCTGACATCTAACAAGGACTCCACAAGAGGAATAGTTCCCATTGTCCAGTCACAGCATAATTCTGAGGGGTTGAGAAGAAGCCAAGCATTTACAGGCAGGAGGTAGTTGAAAGTGAGCTGCCTTGCTGGCGATGGACTCACAGCAGCTGGGTTATCAAACCTAAAGCAAAAGAAAGGAGAATGAGGAAAACAAAGAACAAAACAAACAAAGCAAACAAACAAAACAGTATGGACTTGAGTTCATGCCCAGGGACCAGTAAACTCTAAATTCAGAGCTAGAATTGCCAGTTATGGCCACGTGCAAAATCTTTCTGCATTTCTCAAGTGCGTAGCTCAGGAACCAGACATGATATATCTCAGCACAGGACTGAGGATCCTGTTTTCCTCAAGAAACTGGTTTGGAATATAATCAGCTTAAAACTCAACAAACAGAGAATGACTACATCATTTTTGCTGAAGTTGGATTCCGGGTTCCTTGGTCTGGAAGAAAAAGTAATTCAGGGAAAGTACTAGATTCTTGCATTTTTACATATCTCCCAACACAGATTACTTTTAAAACAAATTACATTTTTTCAGTTCTGACATTATTCCCATATGTTCAATGTTAAGCACTGTATCTGAAGATTTCTGCTTCTGCTACTTTCTGCATAGTAGGTAGCTGAAAAACAGAAATTATTTCATATGTAGATGAGAAAAAAAATCTAAAACGTTTTGAAGTACTCATCCAAGGTTCAAAATCATGACCAATAAAATAAACTTCTGTTAATAAAATTGTTAATCCCTGAAGTATTAGAACCAACTAAGAATCACAAGTGTTTAAAAACTAATGCCTTCTCAGATACCTCAGTACTTCAGATATTCTTGTGGGCAGTTACTGAAATACACTAGTTATTAATTTCACAGAAATAATATTGTACAGTCACTACCTAACAATATTGAATAACCAGATATTTAAGGCGAAGCAGTTTCCAGCATTTTATTCAGACCTCATGAAGCCACATCTTATTTATCAAGATCTGCAAATTAAGACACACTTTCATATTACCTTGTAAACACTGGAAGTTGAGACTGAATAACCTGGACTCTGACTACAACAAGCAGCAGTGTACTGAACATCAGGACAATAAGCTTTAGCAGTGTTTGGAGCATAGAGAAAGGGATACTGCCCTTCCCTCGAAGAATCTGTACCGCTGTGTCCAAAAGCACAGGCAATGTGTACTGCAAAGGAAAATGAGCTTGTTATCAGACAGTATTCACTAATCCTTTATGAGAATATTAGAAATTAAAAAAATGTACAAGATTAGACATTAAATTTAAAGGCTTTTTTAGCGTGACAAATTTCATAAAAATATTACTGTTCATAAGACCATTCCACAACACCTGTTTGCTCGATTTCATGTGATGGAAGCCATTTGCAAACAACATGCCCTCTATTCTTGCCAAAGTAATTAGAAATGAACTAATCTATCTTTATGTACCTCCGACTTTAATGCAACTGTTACATACCGATCTTTTTGCAAATCTGTCAACTAAAAACTCAGCTTTTAGTTCAGAAATGCCAATTCTTTATCAAACATATTTGGTAATATCTCATCATGAAATATATAAAAACAACACCACCACCACCACACCCTAGAAAGCATTTGATTTGCTCCCACAAGCCAAAATCTATTGGGTCAAAGGAATATCTGAAAGGTGCAAAACAACTACAGAAGTAGACTAAGCTGACAAAATTAGTGATGAAATACAAAGCTTCGGAATATGTAATGCCTCATTACAGAATTCCTGGGAAGAAATCTTATCTTTCAACCAGATCTTACCCCTTGAGCAATAAATACTTCATATACACAGCATATTCCCACTACTGTTATTCCTTGTTCTTTGCACAATGTTGCAACAGCAACTAGAAACACCGTCACTGCAATCGGAGTCCACACTGCAAATCAAAAAGACAGGATTGAAAGTGTTCCATCTTGTACCATTTAGACTTAAAAGGTGAAATTAGGCTTTGAACAAATTATGTTTGAACAAAATCTAGAAACTTATTCAATATCATATAGTATCAAAGAGATCTTCAGACTTACTTTACAAAAATAAATATCTGTTAGTTTCACAACTGCCACCCTTAAAATTAAAAAATTGAATAAATGGCAAAAGAACAATAAGGTATTCTAATTAAAAAAAAAGAAAAAAAAAGGCCAAAAAAGCCCAAACAGATAAACTTTGCTAACTCACCAAGATATCCTTTCAAATTAAGTGCTCAAAGGCAGTCATGAATTTTCAGTCACTTAGAAAATAGGCAAGACTCCTTTATCTCTATTCTGCAGCTTATTTAGGACAGTCCAATGCACTCTAGCTTATTTTCGCTATTTGCACTAATAAAAATCAGTGCAAGAATCACATAGTCTCTAGAGAATTCTAGGGTTTTACACAACAACTTAAAGAAGTTCATTAAAAGTGTTGTGTATTTATTCGCTTAAGAAGCCATGCATCCACGCTATTATTTTAAGAGCATTTTTACCATTGATACAGACATGGAGCTGACAATATAAATTTGTCAGTCACTTACCTATAGTATTATCTGGTCCTTTGGATTTAGTATATGACAAAAAAGCAGCTAGGAAAAATATAGATGATAAAAGCTCTGCTCTCCCCACAACTCCAGTTACCTAAAAATGAAAAATAATTTTAAAACTTGTTATTTACTGTAAATCTTAAGAACACATCTTACATTCTTATTTTTATTTTATTCTTCTTCTCCAAGAAGGTCATGCTTGTGTTCCACACCTCTGAGGGGAGAAGGAATCACAGTGTTGCTGTGTGCAGGGAGGGTTCCAAACTATCTACAGTATTTTGGAATATTGCAGTGACAGGTTACTAAATGTTTTTTCTTCTTTTCGTATGCAGTTACTGAATTATTCTGACAATTACTGGTCTTGGACTGACAGCTGAAAAGTCACAGCTGATTAGTCAAAAAAGGGACTATTTTTCCTTTCTTCTGTGGTTCATGTCAATTGCTTCATTAAAAAAAAAATCCCCCCAAGCTTTTTTCCTATTTTTTTCACGGAGTATTGAATATTGCTTCACTGATCAGGATATGCATAACTAAGACCTGTAACCAAACACAAGTGGCCAACAACAGTGCTGAGCTCAAGAACACTGATAACATGTGGCCACTAACCACCCTCAATGTGCCCATAAGTGCCACTATTAATGAAGCAACTGATAAATGCTATACTTTAAAAAAAGAAAAAAAAAATCTTCAGCAGCACCAGCTGCAACATCAACTGAGCCAAATTGGGCAGAATTTTGACTGCTTTCTTCATAAAGCCTGGAAGAAACTAAGTTTTATCAGGAAGAACTACAAGTAAAGTGTGACATGGACTGTCTTTCATATATATCCTGGCAACATATCCTTGTAGACAGTGGCATATAGAAAATATCACAGTCAATTTTGTTCCTATCTTGTAGGAGTGACTGAACATATCTCAGAAGTGCTCACTTGACTGGCGCTATGGCAACTCTTTTCTGAACAGTCAAGAGCTATCAATACATTGATGACAAACTCTGTGCAAGACAGTTTAAGGATGACTAAGGCTTTACAGCAGGTTTGGCAAGCTTTTGTTTGATAATTTCACTGACAATAAGAAATCATTACAGGTATCGCTCCCCTTGGTAGTGAGACAGAAAGGGAGAGATTTTATGATTCTGTTATAGAGAAGTGTTAAAATCCATATGGCAGAAGGTTACTTTGAATTCTCAAATGAAATACAGACTCTTTTCTCTGCATGGGATATGTTTTCTGAATGCAGCCAAGCTGTGACCAACAGCCACAGACTGGCTACTATGCAAACTGTTACTGCAACAGTCACCGATCTAACCAAAATACCCTGTAAGGCTGACTTTGCTACTAATTGTCTATCTTTTGTAGTGTCTTTGATTACACTTAAGCTTTTGCAAGGAAGCTGCTTGTAAAATGGCATGCTATCCTGAGACAGAAAATCATATTTGGGTAAGAAAACCTCATAGTTCAACATTTAATTATGATGATGCTAATTCCTGACTTTCTGCTATCTAGCCCCATCACAATGTTTTCACTTCCAGGTGCATTCTTGAAGCATAATTTATCCAGCACAGCATAAAGAGAAACTCACTCAAGATTTGAGGTCAGACTGTAAAGAAAATATTCATTTCTGAATACTGAAATCACTTTCTGATGCTTCTTTTGGGAACAGCTTAAATTTGCCAAAGGACTCACTGAATCGTGCTTGGAGAAACATCTTCCCCATACAAGGCACCAAGAGAAAACAGTTTCTATTTCTGGATAGAGCAGTGATTTATGACATAAAATTTTAGCATTCCCAAGGCTAGTTAACAACCCATAGCAGTAAATGGATCATCCCATTTCTTGGCAAAAAGGGCATATTAGGCAAAAAGAAATGGAAAGACATCGTAAAACGTTAATTTATGATCTGGAAGACTGTGTTCAGTTTCCTCAAATTTTTCCTCAGAAAGTCATATACGATCATCGCGAGAGCTCAACTTCTCTCCGAAATCCATCCTCTCTATTTAGCCTGCTCTGCTAATTTTTCAGAGTTAATCAATTGATCATAAGATAAGTAAAAATTGCACCTGCTGTTTGAAACTCCTGTGCAGGGGAATAATATCAGAGGATTAAACCGAATGAATCCAATTAAGACACATTTTATACCCACAAAAAGAACAAAAAAAGGAGGAATGAATTCTGCTTTGGAAGTTTCATTAAAGTTTGGAGAACAGTGAGTTAGCATCCCAGTTCAAAGTCTAAACCACAGCTAGTTATTACTTAATCTCGGTTGATGGAAGGAAACTTAAATCAACTAGGACTCTTTGTTTCACACATGGACTGCAACTCTAAGAATACTTTCTTGGTTACATGCATGTTAGAGAGAATTCATCTCAATAAAATCACTTGAAAATGATTTTTTAAAATAGTGTATTTCTGAAAAGGAGAAAGATTAAATTGAAAGAAGTATGGAGAGGTGAAGGAAACCTCTTAACATCCTCTTGGGTACAAAAACCTCTTAACATCCTCTTGGGTACAAAAATACAGCACCAAATGAATTCAAACACAACTGCACTTAAATTCCAGATTCTGCAAGGATTTACGTACAGTATCAAGCTCTAATAATTACAGTCCTAAAGTGCCCTCATGTGGCAAGTATGAGTGATTACACACTTATCACCAAATTACCTAGCTTTGTATTTGTAATTAATAGCTTTTAAAAAACATATCACCCAGTTCGATGATCTTTTATTACATAGCATTCTTAAAGAGATTATATGCCTTTTTTGGTAGCTCTACTGTATAGTGTTAAATAATTTAAAAAAACTAAGTGTATTACTGGAATCTCATATGGCTCCACCAGTTCATAAAGGAGCATGAACAATTCACCTAAACCATGAATTGCTAATGCAAGTCTCTAGCAACTTTCAGATATTCCTGCAAAGACCCTATCATACTTGTTCAAGAGGTAAGGCCAAACCTTGAAATTCTAAAGCACATATGTTCCTTAAAGAAACACCAACTATGTTTTACCTATACTGTCCCACACATTAATCAGGTGGGGTTTTGTATTTCCAAACATAAAAAGCAAGAAAATGGTTAGGCTTTAAACTTTCACATGAAGCACGTTTTGAAGCATGCTGCTAGCTTCCTCTGAAAAGTTAGGTACATGAATAGCAGCCAATTAAAAAAATATATATTTTCTTTAAAGACTTACTCAATTGCCGAGAGGATTTCTGTCTTTAAAAGAATGAAATGTGAGAATTATTTGAACAAAGAGAGCTGGAAAAATTACACTAAGATGAAGGTAGTCTTTTCAACACTCATCATTAAAAACAACAATAAACACACACACTCTCAGGAGAGCTTCAAAAAAAATAAAAGGTTAAAATGTTTTTAGAAAGTTTCAGTATAACATAGAGAATTTTAAATCAGCTAAGACTACAGGAAAAAAATAATTGGAATGGGCTTTTCAACCAGTGTGAGTCTCTGCACATGAAGCCAAGCTACCCGATACAGAAATAGCAGCTTAGAATTAAACACATCTCCTCTATCAACTTGTCCGACAAACACAAGCTATAAGAAAACCTGACCCTAATACTCCATTCAGAAGAGAAGAAATGGGAGGGAAAAAATCCCAAACTTTTGACACTAGCCTCCAAGTCCGTTTGAGAATTAAAAACTGTACAATAATTAATCACTAAAAAGTATACAATTAATTATTTTTGGCTTTTAAAATTCTGCTATTGATAGGAGCAAATGCTTATTTAGAATCAAAACATAATTTGAAAGAAACAAAAAGTGTGTTTTATCTTTCTTGTATTGTACACTGTCAAATATAGGATGCCGAAACAGAAAGTCCAAGGATATCAATTTCAACATACCCAGAAAAAAGTCTTGCTGAGATAAATATATGGGCATAAAAACACAATGAGAACAGTCTCTGTGATTAAAAGAGAAGTATGAATTGAAAATCAAAATTAACTAAAGGTCTTCGTAAGTACTTGCAAGATACAATCCTAGATGGATCATTACAGAATGCACAAATATCTCTGTAAACCTAAGTACCTGTCCTGATAAAAGTAAATGCCTGTGGCAGAAACCCAAGTTATTTGATAACTAAGCATATGTTTCTTTTGATTATTTTTTCAGTAGTTGCATTCAAAGAATACCACGTAACTCTGAGCACACTGGAGTCATCAGAAACTGGTCTCTTCATTTCTCATCCTGCAAAAGGCTGATATACAGAAGTCCAAACTCAAACACACACTCTTTAGATATATTATATATAAACACACACATAAAATACAAAATTTAAGATTACTAAATACAACAGATTAAACATATTGGGGCTTTACCTACCGCTTCAGTATGTATCGGGTGCACAGCAAAGAGCAAGGATGCAACTACGCTGCTCCTGCTGTCCAGGAAAAGCTTACAGACCTTGAGGAAGACTATACAAACCACGGCATGAAAGACCACATTTAGGAAGTGGTAAGAAACTGCATTTAATTCGCTGAACAAGTAGTTTAAGCGAAATGTGAGGACTGTGAGGGGACGGTAAGATTTATGACTCCTCTCCTAAAAAGGAAATAAATAATAAATTGGTCAGAATCAACTTATAAAGCACTTTTAATTCCAAAAATATCAAAAACGTCTGTGCACATATATATGCCCCCACTATTCACAAGCATACATCTTCAAAATAGAGATCTGAAGAATCAGTAATGCTAACAACAGCAAAGAAAAAATATTGTAGAGTAAAATATGGACTATTTAAAATTAAAATAAATTGAAATGAGAGAAATTAGTTTCAACCATTTTTCCAACATCCAAATAATTTTAATGTATTACTCAAATATTTTGAATAATCTGCTACTTTTACACTGTAGATCGACATTACAGAAAGCATAATTTTGGAATACTTACTAAAAATATTTAGATAATACTTTCAGTATGTCTGTCAGGATAACTGACAAGCAAAACTTCTAAGTTATTAGGTTATTAGATAGTCCTTCCATAAGTCTTTTAAAAATTCTCCTTAACACTACCTTCCTGGTCAAAACACATTTGTCAACCTATAGCCTAATGACCTTTGATGATTATACCCATAAAACAGAGGAAGAAAATGTGAAAATGAATCAGAGTGAGAAAAATACTTTGTGTATTACTTGCTTCTGTGTATGTGTATTTTTTAAAAAGTGTGAACATTCAAAGTAACTTAATGTTCATTTTTTAAAATTTAACATGACTTTCATTTGTTTGTAAAGTGCAGAATCAATACTGGAAATTCAATGACTTTTCCGCCCTCTCCTCAAAGTTAGGAGGTCTTTGGAGTAAAATCACATTGACAAACACGTTTAGATTTTTTTGAAATTACTGAGCTCCAGGATTACATAGTCCTAATGGTATCTAAAAACAGCTTTAAAGCTTTATTTACTCGTTATGAAGATTAAGTATCAAAGTCTAGCTAGCAATTAGTATCTCACATTTTACTAATCCTGAAAATGAAGGACATAAAAAAGTGACAATTACAGACTGGAATGTCTTGATAGGTAACACTTCTAAGGCTGTTATTTGCTGCCCTGTTAATGACACCTCAATTACCTTCTTGAACATTATATAATCTTCAGCTTGAACCACTGCTACCTAATATCTTTCATCGATAGCCTTAACACCAGTGCATCTTTTCAGACACAAGCTCAACATGGCCCACAAACCAAAATCTCTGAATTAAGACAAAGATACTTGCTCAAATAAATGTGATGTATTTGATTCCTATTCTCCACATTTTGCTACTTAGCTGTGTAACTTTCCTTCCAGACGAAAATTAAAAAATAAATACTACTGCCTACGAGAAAGAGAAAAAGGTCAGATTTGTCTAATTCCTAAACTGAAATTAAAAACTAGTGTGATGTGCAATAGAAGACTCTCCACTTTTATTATTATTATTGTTTTTTTTACACAAGTCCTTTTGCTTAGCAAAGAAGGAGAATACAAGCGATACCTGTTCCCGATTTGATCAGGTGTACTAACTACAAACCACCAAACTGAAACAGAAGCTAACTGTACTATTAAAACCATATCAGGAAAAAAAAAAAAGTCTAAAAATGCTACGAGCTTATTTCAATGTTCCATTTCCTAAGTGATTCAGATGTTTCACAGACAAATTACCTCCGACATTGGAGTCCCCCAGAAGTCATTCTGAAACAGATTTTTTAAAGGAGTAGAAGGATGTAAATCTTTATTGTCCAAAATTGCTGAAACATCATCAAAAACAAAGCCACAAAAGAGACTGTTCCAATAGCACGCTGCCACCACACCAAGTATTAGTGCTGCTTCTTTCAGGCTTACATCAGCCATCTTCTCCAAGAGCTTTTGTGGACAAAAACATAAATGTAAGAATAGACACTTAAGTTTTATTAAATTAAAAATTGACTTTATTTATTAAGCTTAATTTAAGACAATCAATATAAAAAGCTAATAACTCTTTTCCAAAAATTAACATCAAAAAGTGTCCTTAAGCCTTAGCAACAATATAGTGCTCTCTCATTAAAGATTCTCTCCCCAGCCAGGCTAGATACAGCCTCTTGGCGGCATTTCATATTTTACTGAAAAAATAAAGTTGAAGATAATCTGCGATCTAATTTGCATCAGATAGCGGTGCAGTTCATATGAATGTTATAGGTTTGCAAGAACTGTGAAATTAACTGTTTTAGAACATTGAGTAAATTAACACGCTGACGTTCACAGAATATGAAGTTATCCAAGTGGCAGACAGTAGGCTAATTATTCATGTTTTAGGTTTAAATGTGTTTCTTACAAACAAAATGTTTTAAAAAAATCAGAAAAAAAACTGAAGAACAGATAGAAAAAAGGAGCATTATGCAGGTGTTCAAGGCCAGGTAAAGTCCATCTTTAATATTAAAAAAAATTAACTTACCTCTGAAGCTCACACTTCATTCACTTTCATCATTCATAGTTCACGAAGTCATTTTTCCGTAACTCTTCCAAGCATTCTGATATCATCTAATGACTTTGGAAGGCCCTCTAGAGAAAAATAACATACATAGACAACACTATAAATTGATTATACTGACTGAACATTATTTTCTTCTACTTTCTATAAACATCCTAAGCTCTACAAGTAGTAATTTAAATGATTATTTCAAAATGATACGCAGGTGGTCAAAAAAGGTGAAACTACTATGCATCAGGTTGAGAATTTTTCTTGCATGAATAAATTACTTTTAAAGAGGAAGAATGAAGGACAAAGGCAATCTTTCTGTCTCCTGGTGGATGTGACATGTCTTACTGCCAGATGTTGAGACAAAAATATCAAAAGCTATAGACAACTGAACAATGAATCGGCTCTGAGAAAACAAAGTTATGACTGAATAACAATGTATAGTATTTCCCCTGAAACTAAAAGGGGGAAGCCATCTGTGAGGACACAGACCAGCTAACAGTAGCCAGATGATGTGGATCCATAAATACACAAAAATATCACTCTTTTAGCTACCGGAGTTCACACATTAAAATTGATTAGCTGCTTAGGAGCTGTACAGCCTGATTTATTTTCCTCAAGCATGAAATATCTTTTGTTGCCTTTTTTTCTTTTTTTTTTTTTTTAAATAATGCCCAGGTTTTAACTACATTACCCCATAAAAACAGGACATAAATGTATCTCATTCATAGAGGTAATCTCACCGTACTCTCTGAAGTGCAGTCCATGAGAATCACCTACCAGAAATAGCGGTTTTATGGTAAGACTTAAAACAGCAGTATGGGAGGGTATGTTGAGCTCAACATGCTCAACAAGACGGAGGTTCAGCTGAACTAATAACCATGACAAGGACCACTTAGAAGAAACCAAACTAAATTCAATCAGTGTTACTCACATAATGGCTTTGATTTTTTCTTTTTTAGTACTTGGATAACTGGCTATTAAAGCTACATCAACCAAGAAAGAGCCTTTTTCAAAATTATTACCACCTTTGAATAATAATAATACATAGAAAAAAAAGATCTAAAATATGTGAAATGCAATTAAAAATCGGAATAAAACAGAGTTAATGAAGCCATGATTCTTCTACCCACCTGGATTGGAGCACTTAAAAATACAAATCTAAGGTAAGATCTGAACATATTTATGTTTTTTTTTTTCTCCTTCTGGCAGCCAAACAAGGCTTATTGAAAAATAAAAGCAAAGCATTCTTCAGGAAGACATGAAAATACAACTCCCTTTGAACATCAAGTCACCAAAGATAAAGGTATTTTAAGAAGGAGGAGAAGAAGAATCCGCCATTCTGCACCCTGCTAGAAACATAGCATAGAATATCCTTGTTTGCAACAGCTTCTGGATGGTGAGGTTCCAAGACTAGTTATCCTGAAAATCAGTAACACTGAAAAAGGAACTACATGTAAAAAGCCATTATTCTCTAACATACAAATCTAGTTTTCTGAAATAACGTCTTCCAACAACTGAGGGGAAAAGAACATGATCTTAAAATAAATTCACCATTTAAAACCCCCCACCAACTTATGAGTAGGTTTTTGGTGCCTTGAGGCTTCTTTATTAATATCAGTTTACTGTTTTCGTTGGAACAGCAAGGCCTTGCAAACACTGACTTCATTCCCAGATAGTTTAACTGAAGTAATTCTTAAACGACCACAGTTCAGAAGCAGCTACTGCTACCCAGGTGTACAGGTGGAAGAAGAAAAAAAAAGTCTGTAGAAGTAGCTTCCTAACCAGAGTTTAATCATAGATCACAATTTCAAAAGTCTGTTTCATTCAAGCCTGTCCTACATAAAGTTTAGTATTTTTTTCCCTCCATAAATCCAACCTTATCTGCTCTTTAATTACTCTCTTAACTCTTCCATATGCAGAATATATTTCAAGAGAAGCCACCTTACTTACCCCCCTAACTCTAGACAATTTTGCTGCTTTCATAAGCCCTCATTTTTGCTCTGAATTTCCTGTATTTCTTTTATGTGTAACTATATTTTTTCAATGCTACATTTATCTACATGCCAACTATAGTAGGTAAAATACTGCTGTTCTCATGTTCTGTCTCTCAGGCATAAAGAGGTTAAGATTTTAACCATATCCAAAAAGTTTGTTTTAAGTGACTAGTGCATCATCAAAGAAGCCTGTTTTAACACTTATGAAAACCTTTACCTTTAACACAACAATTTTTTAACTGCAGTTTGCCCTCCCCCTACATGCACATCTCCTGCCACAAAAATATCACTATGTGTAAGCACCTGACTGCAATTTGGGCTTATGAGACAAGTACAAAAGCACAAACATTTACAGGCAGTCCTGAAGAGCTCACTAAACTTACTGTAAGATGTAAACACATCTCAACTAAACACATTATTTTGATTCATCTGCAAGTCATACAACACTGCTTGAGCTACCTTGAGTGCATGACACCATGCAAAGACTACAGGATCTGCCAGCCTCAAACTTCTGTGGTGTGCAAAACACTAGTAAGTCCTGGCAACGCTAAGTCATAGCAGTGATCTAAAAGGACTCCAAATTTTCCAGCAATATGCCTGCAGGACAAGCACAAAGTGAAATTGAAGAAATGCAGGACTACATATACAAGCTATATTTTTCAGAATAAGCATTACAGATATTTTTCCTACCCTGAAATTTATGCTAACCATTTGTAATATATTAATACACTTACATAACACAGATAATAAAGCTAGGAAAAAAAAACCCTTTCACATCATCAGATTACAATTTAAAGCTTTTGCTGAATTAAAGCATAAATACGGAAAAAGATGTTTTCAGTCCCTTATGTTAGCATGGCAAGGAGGATTTTGAGCAAGACACAGCATAAGAGCTACTACTTCCAATTTGCTGTCACAACTTGGTTTACAACCTGACTCTTAATTGGCCAAAGCAGGTAAGCTTGAAACTAGGAATTCTCAACAAGCTGAGAATATATGACAAAAACTAAGGGAGAGGTGTAAGAGATGCACTGTATTTAGCAAGGTAGGCAAAAAAAAACAAACCAAACCAAAACAAAAACACTATCTACCCTTAAACTCAAGAAAACAGCAATTGCTATTTGGTAGCCAACACTTTCTTGACACCAAGGCTGTTACGGATCAGTTTGATGCTGGACAGAGAGAAGGTCTGCAAGACCAAGAACCTCACAGATCATTGATGTGCAAAAGGAAGTATGAACAGGGCTGGTCAGATTGGTCAAGGTGAGTGAATACTTTCTCATTCTTGCTGAACAGACATGTTGAAAATTGATATCAGCACAAATTTGGTGCCACTCCTTCACCACTCCCAGTGATGAGTATACTGATAAACACCTCTAAAACATGCTGCCTAACCACTTGTCTTGTTAGCACAGGCTTTCTTTCCACAAAGGAGAACCATATCACTAATTGATCCCACACCGGTCAACTCAAGTTGTATTTTGACTTTCACTTTTACAGCTTGTAAGACTTGAAAGACCTTATCACCCATCAGGCTCAAAGACTACCCAATCCTGACATACAGAACTGCCAAAGTCCCTGTTTGACTGAAGTCAGGAGTGATGTATGCTTTATTTCTATGACTTCTCTTTTAATTTACAGTGATACCTTGAAAAATTTACAGTTGAATACCATCAGCAGCAAAGTATCCAAGAGGGAAGCTGCAAGATCTCAAGAGCTGATCATGAAAAAACAAAATGCTCAAGCTGTACAAAATACCTGATTGCTAGTCTAACTTTGTCAAACTTCCTCGCATGGAAATCTGCAGTTTGCACTGCATTATCTTCATGCCTGCGTAGAGCCATTAAGTGGGAAAGACGGACAAGCAAGCATTCATACTCCAGAGCTCTCCAGCAGGTTCAGCCTGTAAGCCAGTTTTCTTCTGCAGTTTGTTGAGAACCAGGGCATCTAGTCTGCTCCCTTCATAGCCAAGGGTGAGATAAAACATAAAAAGCAAAACATTTCTGGAATAGCAATGAGACAACAAAGAGTTCCTTCATCAGTATCAACTCCACGACAGACAGGTAAGAACCACAAAGTATGACTACACAAAAAGTTTAAAATAAATAAATGCACAAAGGAACACAGTGACACTCCAATGGAGTCCTGCATTAGGAGATTTGGGAGTGGGGAAGCCACTTTCTACCCATAATGGGTTTAGGAGAAATTAGAAAGTATACATTTAGGCAGGAACACAGCTGCCATCCCTAAATATGAAATGGCAATTTACCACTCTATAGTTAGCTGCCTCTAATAGACAAGCTATTTGTTACCTTACATGTACAACAAATCCTTGCAAGAGAAAATAATAAGATAAAACACTGTGTTGACCAGACACAACTTAACCTACTTCTAGAAAGTTAAAAATAGTTTTAAAATTTTTTA